GTCAGGCAGTTGGCTATTTTTGACATGATTTCCCTTTGAAGGATGCCTTTTAACTTAGGTTTGGTCATGGAACCAAAGCCCAGCCATCTGTATATTCATTCTGGCCTACTGAACACAGAAGAGAGTCCATGTGAACCAAGCTGAAACAGAGGCCTGATCAATGGACATTTTTCTGTCAGTTACTAGGAAACAGAGAAGTTTTTTATTGTTAATTGCCAGGTACAAGGGCAATATATACTTGGAGCTTTTGAGCATCAGTATGGGGAAGAAGGTCCATTAGAGGATAAAACTCACTGAGAAAAGCAGAGCTGAGAGATGGAAAGAGGGAGAGGCAGAGAAGAGGGACAAGTGGAGTCAGAGAGACCGACAGTGTTGATGACATGAGATGTGATATGAGCAGAAGGAAACGAGGTTAAGCCACTGATATTTTAGAGCTGCTATAGCAGTTAGCACACCCTGATGAACACACCCTAAAATGTGTAAGTGATATGTATCTTCCTTCCCAGTGGTTTTATTTATTTATTTGGCTGGGCCAGGTCTTAGTTATAGCATGCAGGATCTTCTAGCTTCATTGCAGCACATGGGATCTTTAGTTGCAGCATGCGAACTCTTAGCTATGGCACGTGGATTCTAGTTCCCTGACCCAGGATTGAACCCAGGCCCCTGCATTGGGAGTGTGGAATCTTAGCCACTGGCCCACCACGGAAGCACCCTCCAGTGGTTTTAGAACACTGGGTCTTCTACCCACTCTTTCCACTTTAGAAAGTAATTAAGAGCATACTTTTTTGGAGGAAGTTTAATATGTTAAATAAAAACCTCAAACTAGTAGTTACTACAAAATATAGTTTAATTTCACTCTTCATTATTTCCCACAAAATTTTAAAAATACCAACATACAGACAAGAGCAAGTGAAACAGAACAGACCTTAAAAGTTGTATAAAATACAGACCTAAACTCAAGATTGTATGAGCAGTGGCACACACACACACACCAAATACTCTGAAATGAATTCAGAAAGCATGTCCCCAGTTGGATGAGTTTTCTTTCTAAAGTCAGCTTTTATTGGAGTCACATCTGGAATGATCCTAAACAAAAATTCTTTTATGTGGAAAGGATCTTCCCAGACTTCTCTTAAAAAAGCATTTATTAAACAGAGGCAGACTTATTCTAGGCACAGAAGTCCTAAATGCCTCTCCTAGGCCACATGGAACTTAGAAAATTGAATGAAAACAAAGCCCTATAGGGATGAGAAAGTGACACCTAGTGGCCACCCAGCAGGTTTTCTTTACGGCTTCTGATAATGCTACCAAAGAGATGTCAGCCCTGCTCGTGCCCACAATATTCTGTTCGGCAAACCCGAGTCTCTAATTTCAGAGCTCAGCAATGACCTACCTGAGTGACGGACTCCTCTTTAGAACAGGATCTGAAACTGGACCCATTAAACATGGGCTGATACCTAGAGAGTGTCTATGTTATATACTTGTGCCCTAGACTCTACAGAGATTTCTCATTATGACAACCAGTGAACACAGCCTTTTCCCATTGTGACACTGTAATTACATACTTCCCTTTATTTCTGTTTAGTTACCAAAAGTCTGTGCTGTATCTTCCTGTTTGTCTTTATGTTTATCAGTGATTTTCAAATTCAGTGACTACTACAGAGTATACCTCAAGTTTTATTTGATTTCAGGTTAATGAATGTCTAATACTTCCAAGTTGACTAATTTCAAAAAAGTTTTAAATGTGATACACTGATAAAGGTTCACAGTTATTTACATTGAACCAAAGATCAATAAATGTTCTTTATAGCAGTTAGAGGTAAACACCATACTTAATAGTATAAATTTTGGTCTATTTAAAAATATCCACTTAATAAAATGTCCAAGAGCAGGGCTGAAGAATGAAAATATAATGTGTATCACATGTGTAATTTAAAACTTTCTAGTAGCCACATTAGAAAAGTAAGAAAATAAAATTAATTTTAATGTTTAATTTTGTATATCCAAAATATTATTTGAATATGTAATCAATACAAACTTGTTATGTGATATTTTATATTCCTTTTTTTTCATACTAAGTCTTTGAAATCTGGTATACATTTTATATTCACAGCACATTTCAATACATAAGAGTCGCGTTTCCAGTTTTCAGTAGCCACATGTGGCCAGTGGCTATCATAATGAACTGACTATTTCTAGCATCTGACTATGGGTTTGAGACCTATGGGTGAGAATCATTACTCCATAGGAAGTAAATGGAGAGATTAAACCTCTTTTTACAAATAAGGAAACTGAGGTACAGAGAGTTGAAATGGCTTTCTTGAGGTCACACAGAGAAATTTAGTCTAGCAGGTTCTCCCAATGCAGGCATGCCTCCTATGTAGGTAATTCTTAGAATTAAAAAATAAATAAAAAAAAGAGTATTCTTTTTAGGATATTTGATTAAATTGGTAGATATTTTTACCAACATGTAAGAAATTAATCGGTTCGAGTAAAAAAAACAGTATAATGTAAAGCATAAAAAATTTGTCACTCCTAATAGCAATCAAATGTAAATAGAATGCATTTTGAAGAAAGCACTGAACGTAGAGCTATAGTATCATACAATGCTTGGATTGAATTCTGGGTCCAGGGCAAGAAGATAAACATCAGAGTGGGTTACTAAAGCATCAAAGCATTCAATTACTATCCACCCATAAGTCTATGGAATAACCTCTCCTTTTAGAAACAGAGAGAACTGCTACTGTGCAAGCAGGAATGACCAGCTTTGAGAAAGTCTGCCTCTCAGATCCCTGGATCATGAGGGTTGCCTCCATCTCCTTGGGAGGTCAAGGGGCCACAGTGACCTATCCCACTACCACTGGCTTAGGCTGACTCTGGAGGTCTAACACAATCTGCAGTGGTCGACTCCTGAAATGTTACCTCTATAGGCAGACCTCTCTATCTGACTTAGAGAACAGGTGTATCTGTCATGCTTCTTCAGACTTAATTATCATGCTTGCGTGCATGTGGGCATGTGTGCTCAGCAGTGTCCAACTCGGACTGTAGCCCACCAGGCTTCTCTGTCCATGGAGATTCTCCAGGCAAGAATACTGGAGTGGGTTGCCATTTCCTCCTCCAGGGAATCTTCCTGACCCGGGGATCAAACCCAAGTCTCTTGTGTCTTCTGTATTGGCAGGCAGGTTCTTTACCAGTGAGCCACCTGAGAAGCCCCAAGTATCATGCACAGGCTGCTACAAACCAATACCCCCATTTTGCAGGATTTCATTGGCTTTGACTTATTCTACACTTGAATGTCTCCCAAGTTCTCAAACGCCAGAACCAGGGGTGGTGCTGCACCTCTGACATTGCTGGAAAATTGCACTGGCTCAAGACAACAGGTCAATACATCCTTGCCCACATGGCCTCTGCAAATGTCACATGTGAAGGAACATGTGATTTTGGTTGTTGCCTGTTACTATGTTGCCCATTAATGTGTCTGAAAGTTTAATCTATTGCAGCCTAAGGATATATATGTAAGGTAAAAAGAATGCCTTGTTTGGTGAGAGGCTCTGAGGAAAATCTGCTGGAGAGGGACAGCGTGACACAGAAAACTGGAGTTGATCCCCAGGGCTTTCCCCATTAGTTTCCTAGCCTGTCTTACTTTTACTTGCGAGGCACAAAAGAGAATATATGGGAATACACTTGGTAAACTAGAAAGAGCTATTAAAACCATAGGTATTATAGAACCATTATAATATTACAATATTATGATCTTCAAACATGTAGATATACATACAGTATTTTAAATAACCTTAATTCTTACACTCAATTTAAGCCACTTCTAGATTACTGGTTTTAAAAATGCTCTCAATTTTTAATTTTAGCTGGAAAATTGGTTTTCAAATTCTTTCTTATTGCCTCATGGTTTTTAAAATGTACTTGTCATTTATGTAATTACCTTTGGTTACAAGCAATAGTAACTGTAATTTCCTAATAATTTAGAGAGCCAACAACTAGTTCCTAGGTCACTTAACTAATCATTTAACTACTGAGACTATTGTTTTCCCAAATGTGTATAAAGAAACTGGTTTATACACATTAAACATTAAAAGACATAGGAACTTAATTGTGACATTACCATTCAAGACATTGAATCTGCCTGGACCCACTTCTTCCACTAAGACTAATCTGTTGCTAAATACCTTTTCAGCATCATAAATCTATCCTATCTGTAATAAAAATCTTGAGTGGTTCTATTAAGAGTAAATCTTAATACTCTTGAGTATTAAGGCAAAGGCTAATCACCCAGCTCGAGGGCCCAAGATCTTTCCTTTTCTGTAAGCAAAGTCGAAACTTTCTCAGCTTTTCCTTTTTTTTTGAGTTTTAAATAAGAAATCATCTCACTTAAAATCTATCTCAAAGTGCTCAACTGAGCATAACTATTGTGGTTCTGTACTTGCCCAAGCCCACAAAGACTGAATACAGTATTCATTGTGATCACAATTACAAATTGCACTATCCCTTTAAATGATCAAGTACTCACTATTTTTTTTAAGTGGATAAGTCCTGTCCTCAGTGAAGGAAATATATTAGGAATGGAAATGTTCCAAATTACACAAATCTTCTAAGTCAATTATAAATGAATCTCAGACACAAGGAAAATGTCCACACATTAAACTCCCCAAACTCAAAACAACTGCACCATAAAATAAAAATAAAACCAAAACAAGATACATGTGGTATTCTTGGTTAAAAAGACTTTGACAAAAATATAGCAACTAGTGGGTTTGAAGGCATGTCACTGACTAAAGCAGTCTATAGAAAATTCTGCGACTCTGAAGGGAAACATCACATTTCCCCAAACCCCTATTAAAGTCAGGAGCAAATCTATAAAAACTGGCAGACCATTAATAGGAATAAAAGATAAAAACAGTATACAAAGGATACAAAGACTATATAGTCTTTTGTAAGTGAAATGCTTCAAGACTTTCCTCATGTTTAGAGTTAAAAATCAAATGCTAGAGTGTCCAGTGGATGTCACTGAAGTCCCCAGGGTCTCCCAGGCCCCCCTCTGCTTCTAAGTAATTCATGAAGGCAGCCATGGCTGTGTCATCATTGTCACAGAGGGCTTCAAAGTCCAGCTGGACTCCTTCTCCTATCGAATTGAAATACAGGCTTGTATAAGTACATTTGGAGGTTAAAAAATGAGTTATCATCGAAAATGGCAAAGCAAGGTTAGGATACCATACAATGTATTGTTGAAGGCAAAGCATACATTTTACAGATGCCAGATGTATTTTTTAATGGGTTGCCTATTTTTATAACAATCTGCTGTCAGATAAATTGCACTTCACTCATTTGATGCACATAAGCGAGTTAGTCTATGAGTTTTTAAATAAAAAATAAAAGCACTAAGAGGTACAGACTCTGAGACAGTTGGATGTAAAGGGCTGGGGTTTATTCATGTGTGTAGATACAGTCTGGAAGAAGAAATTTAACTTTAATCTGCCTGTGAAAATACTTTGCTTGTTTAACTCCAAGATGAGAAGGCTGAGACAAAAGCATCACCTTCCAAAAATCTGAAAGACTCTTATAAAAGGAAGGAGTCCCCAAATTTTTGATTGAAAAAGGAAATAAAGAGGAACCATGAAAATGTGTTTTAAATCAGATACTCAAGAGGGTCTAGAAATCCATGGTTAAAACACAGCAAGAGATTAATCAAAGTTTTCTAGGTATCTTCCAAAGTACAACAGAATTTAAGATGATTAATATGTGGTTTTTGGAGAAGGAAATGGCAGCCCACTCCACTATTCTTGCCTGGAGAATCCCATGGACAGCGCAGCCTGGCAGGCTACAGTCAATGGGATTGCAGAGAGTCAGACATGACTTAGCCACTGAGCAAGCAATATGTGGTTTTGTGTGAAGCTGAATGTCCAGGTTCCTTCAAGGCTTTTGATTCTTGGGCTTTCCCAGTGGCTCAGAAGGTAAAGAATCTGCCTGCAGTGCAGGAGACCTGGGTTTGATCGTTAACCTGGAAAGATCCTCTGGAGAAGGAAATAGCTACCCATTCGAGTAGTCTTACCTGGAGAATTCTAGGGACAGAGGAGTCCGAAGGGCTACAGTCCATGGGGTCCCAAAGAGTCAAACACGACTGAGCGACTAACACTTTCAGTTTCTTTTTCCCCTCTGATTCTCTGTAGCATTTATTTTCAGGAGATCAGAGTCAGTTATGGGGAGCATAAAATTGTATCCCTTCAAATTTCTTTATTTGGACTTTGCATAGGTATAGTTAAAATGAATAATTACATCTTAAACTTTTTATGATTGGTATCTTTTAAAAATCTTTTTCTGGAGAGTGGAATTTTTCCCTAAACATGAGAGCATTTGCTCAGTTCTGTTGAGTCGCTCAGTCATGTCCGACTCATTGTGACCCCATGAGTCGCAGCATGCCAGGCCTCCCTGTCCCTCACAAACTCCCAGAGCTCACTCAAACTCATGTCCATCGAGTTGGTGATGCCATCCAGCCATTTCATCCTCTGTCGTCCCCTTCTCCTCCTGCTCCCAATCCCTCCCAACATCAGGGTCTTTCCCAATGAGTCAACTCTTCGCATGAGGTGGCCAAAGTACTGGAGTTTCAGCTTCAGAGTCAGTCCTTCCAATGAACACCCAGGACTGATCTCCTTTAGGATGGACTGGTTGGATCTCCCTGCAGTCCAAGGGACTCTCACGAGTCCTCTCGAACACCACAGCTCAAAAGCATCAATTTTTCAGCGCTCAGCTTTCTTCACGGTCCAACTCTCACATCCATACATGACCACTGGAAAAACCATAGCCTTGACTAGACAGATATTTGTTGGCAAAGTAATGTCTCTGCTTTTTAATATGCTCTCTAGGTTGGTCATAACTTTCCTTCCAAGGAGTAAGCGTCTTTTAATTTCATGGCTGCAGTCACCATCTGCAGTGATTTTGGAGCCCAAAAAAGTAAAGTCTGACACCGCTTCCACTGTTTCCCATCTATTTGCCATGAAGTGATGGGACCAGATGCCATGATCTTAGTTTTCTGAATGTTGACCTTTAAGCCAACTTTTTCACTCTCCTCTTTCACTTTCATCAAGAGGCTTTTTAGTTCCTCTTCACTTTTGGCCATAAGGGTGGTGTCATCTGCATATCTGAGGTTATTAATATTTCTCCCGGCAATCTTGATTCCAGCTTGTGCTTCTTCCAGTCCAGCTTTTCTCATGATGAGAGCATTACTTTTATTTAAATTGTGTTTTAATAATACTCATAGCAACTCAGTTGATCATCAGGCTTTCAATGACAGGTCCATTAAGTAGAATGTGCTGTGTGTGCTCAGATGCTTAAGTTGTGTCCAACTCTTTGTGACCCTATGCACTGTAGCTCAACAGGCTCCTCTGTACATGGGATTCTCCAGGCAAGAATACTGGAGCATATTGCCATGCCCTCTTCCAGGGGAATCTTCCCAACCCAGGGATCAAACCTGCATCTCTCATGTCTCTTGTACTGGCAGGCAGGTTTTTTTACCACTAGTGCCACCTAAGTAGCATACACTTAAAAATTAACACTATGATGACTGTATTTAAGATCCTGAATGAAAAATTCAGGGTTGTTTTTTTTTTTAATTGAAGTAGTTGATTTTATAATGTGTTAGTTTTTGGTGTACAGCAAAGTGATTCATATATACATATATATATATTCTTTTTCAGATTCTTCTCCATTAGTTTGTGATACTATATTGAATAGAGTTCCCTGTGCTATATGGTAGGACCTTGTTGTTAACCTATTTTATATATAGCAGTTTGTATCTGCTAATCCCAAACTCCTAATTTATCCTCCCCACTTTTGTCCTTTGATAACCATATTTGTTTTCTGTTTGTAAGTCTACCTCTGTTATGTAAATAAGTTCATTTGTGTCTTTTTTTTAGATTCCACATATGTGATACTATGTGATATTTATCTCTCTCTGTCTGGTCTACTTAATATGATCATCTCTAGGTGCAACCATGTTGCTACCAATGGCATTATTCCATTCTTTTTTATGGCTGAGTAATATTCCATTGTGTGTATATATACCACATCTTCTTTATCCAGTCATGTTGATGGGCATTTAGGTTGCTTCCATGTCTTGGCTATTGTAAATAATGCTGCTACAAATAATGCTGTACATTGGGGTACATGTATCTTTTCGAATTAGTTTTCTCCAGATGTATGCCTAAGAGTGGGACTGCTGGATAGAGTGGGTAGCTCTATTTTTAGTTTAAGGAACCTCCATATGTTCTCCATAGTCTTTGTACCAATTTATGCTCCCACCAACAGGGTTGAAGGGTTCTCTTTTCTCCGTGCCTTCTCCCACATATATTATTTGCAGAGTTTTTGATGATGGTCATCCTGACCAGTGTGAGGTGATATCTCATTGTAGTTTGGGGGGAAAACTTAGTTTTAAAGCTGTTTGCATATTTAGAAATTTCCTAAACCTGAAACTATCATGATTAAAAAAAGTTTTTGGAAAACCAAAATGGTGGTCAGTTGTGAAAGAAATCTTACCGAGGAGTGGTTCATGACTGAGGGGAGGAACAACACTTTGGTTTTGCTTTGTAGCCTCTCGTTCCCCTATTTCAGATGGACTTAGGGTAATCAACTCCTTATTTGACATCTGTAACGACAAAATAAAAAGCTGTAAGTTTCCTATTTGAATGAAATAAAGATTTCTTAGCAGTTTTCATATGTGGGTGTGCTGTCATGAACAATATGGCAGTTTGCACTTACTGAGTGTCCTGTGCTAAGTACTCCACAAATAAAATTTTGTTTCATGTTACAAATATTGTGAGGTCAAGACTCTGAGGCCTAAAGAGTCTAATATCTTGTCTAAAGTGTTGGAGCCATGATTCTAACCCAAGTCCATCTGACTCCAAAGCTCCCACATTATTCATAATCATAACTAAAGTACACAATTACACATATAAGGGAAAGTTTTAGATTAAGAAGGAAAAACATTTCGGTATTTTTTAAATGATGGTAAAACTATATCTCATTCAAAGCTACAATGGGAAATACTGCTTTGGAATAGGGAATGTATTAAACCAGAGACTTTTACCAAAAAGTTGTCATATCATAGTGTTATATAGACACAGGCCAAACAATTTGATGTTCAATATAGCTCATCAAAAGAAATCATTTACCTATATTGTCTGATTCAGTTGATAAACTTTATCATAATGCCTACATAACATACACTACTCAGAGATTTTTGTGTGCTACAAGGACTTAAATCCCTGTTTCTGGTATATAGTCTGGCACAAAATGCATACCCAATAAACAGGTGTCAAATGTATGAGTAAAACTTGAAAATACCAGAACAAAAGTCTATGTTAATATAAAAAGATACTTTCAGGTTCCCTTTTGTCCCTAGTCAGATTTAATTTCTCTTCTCTCCTATATTTTATGTGCTGTGTGCTATGTCACTTCAGTTGTGTCTGATTCTTTTAGACCCCATGGACCGTAGCCCGCTAGGCTCCTCAGTCCATGGGATTTCCCAGGGATGAAATCCGAGTTTCTTATGTCTCCTATGTTGACAGGTGGGTTCTTTACCACCAGTGCCACCTGGGAAATATACCTAGTTTAGAGCATTTTGTTGTCTGGGATACATCACAATTATACGTGGGTCTTCCATATATTCAGTGCTATGTTCAGTACACACATCTTGTATGTACTTCAAAATGGCTAATATTTGTTCAATTGAATTAAATAGTAGGTAATACTTATTTTGTAGCTTATATTAAACTTTTTTCCAGACCATAAGGAGTACTTTTAATCCATAGACTTGGAGTTTATTAAAATAACAGTAATAACTATTATTTATTGAGCACATACTATGTCCGAGGAACTGTGAGGTTTTTTGTTTCTTTGTATATTAAATCATTTAACTCACACATCACTTTAAGAAACTGGGGCTATTATTAATCCTTGTTTTACAAGTGAGGAAGCTGAGGTGCAGAGGTTAAAAAACACACAGGAGGTTATCCCAGCAGTAAGTGAATCAAAACTTGGACCCAGACATTACGGTCCCAGAAACTTCAATATTAACCACTATTCTACATTGCCTCTTAAGAACTCTGGAAAGAGATCCCTTTTTTTTTTTTTTTTTAACAGGATGGCCTCTTTTCTCAAAAGAAATAATCAACAAGGACCAATTTTATCATTCATTTATTTCATGAATATTATCACTTACGATAGTACTTACATTCCTGCAGTTTAGAGTATGTGTATCTTTCAATAAATCTATTGGACTTGAATCAAGGGATGAAGATGACTGTAACCTTCAAAAATGACACATAAAACATGTTATATGTCTATTTTTATATATTCTAGAGAAATTTCTCTTCTGAATACAGTCTACTGATAAAAATACAGGGAGGAACATAAAGACTGAATATCACAACAGTTTTCATCATTAGACTGACTTGCTCAGAGCCAGACATAAATTTGACAACAGAGTGCTGAGAACGCTATAGTAAATAGAAACATAAACCCCAAGGTGTCATGTTACCTGTCTTAATACAACACGTTGCATAGTAATTGAACAATTACACAGCTCAAAATAGTCACTGACATCAAGAGTCAGTTCTTACCAGGATACTAAAAAGCAGAACTAGAGTAAAGAAAGATTTCCTAACATTCTGCAACCTTTTCTTTAAGTGGAAAATATGTCATGTTTTTATTATAATAGTTCATCTCCAGGTACAACATCAATGAAACACATGAAGACAAAAACATAATCCTAGGCTTTTGCAGAGATAACAAATCTCTTCAAAACTTAATATGTAAAACTTATGGTGTTATGTATTACTAAATGCTCAATTATGTGATACATAATGGCATAAACATAACTTTATGGCCTTGTGTATTCCCAAGGATGCAGCTAACAAGAAATTATAGAGGGAGAAATCAAAACAGAAAAATGAAATGAATTAGGTAGGAAACACAGATGAAAAGATTAGTGACATGTCTTGGAGACTTTTCACAATGTAATGTATATAGCTTGGCTGATTTCCCATTCTGTGGTTCAAGGTTTAAAATCATCAACCACTCAATTAGCCCTTGTTTAAAGATGAAAAAAGCTAACTTCCCCTAACCATGCATGTCACTACCAGATTCTGAAATATGGCTTTCTTCATATTAGTTTATTGGGCAAAAACGTGCTATTTAACTTCACCTCAGTCCCTTTTAACTAACTTAAAACTCTGTTGCTCAGTGGCCTGATCTCTTCCTCAGTGAATCTCCTTGTTGTTTGCTGAAACCAGCACGCTTTCTCCTACTCAACTCCATACACTGGCCAAGGTGCCTCCATACATAAAACTCCATACACTGCACTGTGCACATTCTAATAGTTCCCAGCTAGCAACATCTGGCTCAATTTTTGCTTTCCTTATGTTGCCCTTCCAGCACAGTCAAATGATTTTCATCGAGGGTGCCAAGACCATTCAGTGGGAGAAGGAATAATCTTTTCAGCAAATTATGTGAGAAAACTGGATATCCATATGCAGATAAAGGGAGTTGGACTATAACCCTACTCAGAGTAATTTTCTTGGTTGAACTTTGTGATACTTAGTACATATATTTACAATTTACTTCAGAAATACATTTTAGAGCTATTATAGAAAACTCCAAAGAGATATAAAAATAGATAATATAATGAAATCTCATACACCCACCGAACAGCTTCAGTAATTGTCCTTTCTCACCTAATAACAAAGTATGAGATATAAAATTTTAAACTTTTTTGTGTAGGATGTAAAATTAATATAAATATAAATATATTATATGTAAATTATTAATAACATCATTCTAGATGCTCCTATTCTTATTTTTTCTGCATTTGAAAAATATTCTCAGAGAAATGTTAATATGTCTCACTATGATTATATTTTTCTTTATGATTATATATCTTTAAAAAATTTATTTGTTTTTTTATTGAAGGATAATTGCTTTACAGAATTTTGTTGTTTTGTGTCAAACCTCAACACGAATCAGCCATAGGCATACATATATCCCCTCCCTATTGAACCTCCCTCCCATCTCCCTCCCCATCCCACCCCTCTAGGTTTATACAAAGCCCCTGTTTGAGTTTCCTGAGCCATCCAGCAAATTCCTGTTGACTATTTTACATATGGTAATGTAAGTTTCCATGTTACTCTTTCCATACATCTCACCTTTTCCTCCCCTCTCCCCATGTCCATAAGTCTATTCTCTATGTCTGTTTCTCCACTGCTGCCCTGTAAATAAATTTTTCAGTACCATTTTTCTAGATTCCATACATATGCATTAGAATATGATATATATCTTTCTCTTTCTGACTTACTTCACTCTGTATAATAGGTTCTAGGTTCATCCACCTCATTAGAACTGGCTCCAAAGCATTCCTTCTTACGGTTGAGTAATATTCCATTATGTATATGTGCCACAACTTTATCCATTCATCTGTCAATGGACATCTAAGTTGCTTCCATGTTCTAGCTATTGGACATAGTGCTGCAATGAACAATGGGATACATGTGTCTTTTCCAATTTTGGTTTCCTGAGGGTATATGTCTAGGAGTGGGATTACTGGGTCATATGGTGGTTTTATTCCTAGTTTTTTAAGGAATCTCCATACCATCTTCCATAGTGGCTATATCAATTTACATTCCCACCAACAGTGCAAGAGCATTCCCTTTTCTCCACACCCTCTCCAGCATTTATTGTTGTAGACGTTTTGATGATGACCATTCTGACCAGTGTGAGGTGATATCTCATTGTAGTTTTGATTTGCATTTCTCTAATAATGAGACATGTTGAGCATCTTTTCATGTGTTTGTTAGCCATCTATATGTCTCCTTTGGAGAAATGTCTGTTTAGGTCTTTTTCCCACTTTTTGATTGGGTTGTTTGTCTTTCTGGTATTAAGTTGTATGAGCTGCTTTGTATATTTTGGAAATGAATCCTTTGTCAGTTGTTTCATTTGCTATTATTTTCTCCCATTCTGAGGGTTGTCTTTTCACCTTGCTTATAGTTTCCTTTGCCGTGCAAAAGCTTTTAAGTTTAATTAGGTCCCACTTGTTTACTTTTGTTTTTATTTCCATTACTCTAGGAGGTGGGTCATAAAGGATCTTACTTTGATTTATGTCAAGTGTTCTGCCTATGTTTTCCTCTAAGAGTTTTATAGTTTCTGGTCTTATATTTAGATCTTTAATCCATTTTGAGTTTATCTTTGTATATGGTGTTAGGAAGTGTTCTAATTTCATTTTTTACATGTAGCTGTCCAGTTTTCCTAGCACCATTGATTGAAGAGGCTGTCTTTGCTCCATTGTATATTCTTGCCTCCTTTGTCAAAAATAAGGTGCCCATAGGTGCATGGGTGGGTTTATTTCTGGGCTTTCTATCTTGTTCCATTGGTCTATATTTCTGTTTTTGTGCCAGTACCATACTGTCTTGATGACTGTAGCTTTGTAGTATAATCTGAAGTCAGGAAGGTTAATTCCTCCAGCTCCATTCTTCTTTCTCAAGAGTGCTTTGGCTTTTCAGGGTCTTTTGTGTTTCCATATGAACTGTGAAATTTTTTGTTCTAGTTCTGTGAAAAATGCCATTGGTAATTTGATAGGGATCACATTGAATCTGTAGATTGTGTTTGGTAGTACAGTCATTTTCACAATATTGATTCTTTCTACCCAGGAACATGGAATATCTCTCCATCTGTTTATGTCATCGTTGATTTCTTCCATCAGTGTCTTATAATTTTCTATGTACAGTTCTTTTGTCTTCCTAGGTAAGTTTATTCCCAGATATTTAATTCTTTGTTTGTTTGCAATGGTGAATGGGATTTATTCCTTAATTTCTCTTTCTGATTTTTCACTGTTAGTATATAGAAATGCAAGTGATATCTGTGTATTGATTTTGTATCCTGCAACTTTTCTAAATTCACTGATCAGCTCTAGTAATTTTCTGATACTATCTTTAGGGTTTTCTATGTACGGTTTCATGTCAACTGCAAACAATGAGAGCTTTACTTCTTTTCCCATCTGGATTTGTTTTATTTCTTTTTCTTCTCTGATGGCTGTAGCTAGGACTTCCAGAACAATGTTGAATAATAGTGGTGAAAGTGGACACTCTTGTCTTGTTCCTGATCTTAGGGGGAATGTTTTCAGTTTTTCACCATTAAGAATAATGTTTCCTGTAGGCTTATCATATATGGCCTTTACTGTGTTCAGGGAGGTTCCTTCTATGCCCATATTTTTTGAAGAGTTTTAATCATAAATGGGTGCTGAATTTTGTCAAAGGCTTTTTCTGTATCTATTGAGATGATCTTTTTTTATCTTTCAAGTATCGCATTGATTGATTTGCATATATTGAAGAATCCTTGCATCTCGGGAATAAACCCAACTTGATTATGGTGTATGAGCTTTTTGATGTGTTGCAGAATTCTGTTTGCTAAAATTTTGTTGAGGAGTTTTACATCTATGTTCATCAGTGACATTGGCCTGTAGTTTTCTTTTTTTTTATGTTGTCTTTGTCTGGTTTGGGTATCAGGGTGGTGGTGGCCTCGTAGAATGAGTTTTGAAGTGTTCCTTCCTCTGCAATTTCTGGAAAGAGTTTTAGAAGGATAAGCATTAGTTCTTCTCTAAATGCTTGACAGAATTCTCCTGTGAAGCTGTCTGGTCCTGGCTTTTGTTTTTTGGGAGATTTTTGATCACAGCTTCAATTTCAGTGTTTGTGATTGGGTTGTTCATAGTTTCTATTTCGTCCTGGTTCAGTCTTGTAAAATTTAACTTTCCTAAGAATCTGTCCATTTCTTCCAGGTTATCCATTTCATTGCCATATAGTTGTTCATAATAGTCTCTTACAATCCTTTGTATTTCTGCATTGTCTGTTGTAACCTCTCCTTTTTCATTTCTAATTTTGTTAATTTGATTCTTCTCTCTTTTGATGTGTCTGGCTAAAGGTTTGTCAATTTTGTCTATCTTCTCAAAGAACCAGCTTTTAGTTTTATTAATCTTTACTACTGTTTCTTTCATTTCTTTTTCATTATTTCTGCTCAGATAATTATGATTTCTTTCCTTCTACTAATTTTGGGGTTTTTTTGTTCTTCTTCCAGTTGTTTTAGGAGTAAAGTTAGGTTGTCTATTTGATGTTTTTCTTGTTTCTTGAGTAGGACTGTATTGCTATAAACTTCCCTCTTAGAACTGCTTTTGCTGCATTCCATAGGTTTTGAGTTGTGTTTTCATTGTCATTTGTTTCTAGAATTTCTTTTACTTCCCTTTTGATTTCTTCAGTGACCTTTTGGT